GACAATATCGAGCTAATGGCTGCGAACTTCTAATCTATCTCATAAAACTACGTTCTATATTACATCGAACTAGGATTAGTCAATAACACAAAGTGTCAAAATTTCTAGTACTTTGAACATTTTAGAAAATTATTCGAGATAAATATGCATGGAACTACTGAAAATTACTTTTGATTCCTTTTCCTTATTCTGTAAATTCTTTGATTGGAACATGAATGTTGCTGGAAATATGAACATTTTCACAGGACAATGGTATAAATGGAACTATAAAACTTTTTTAAGTGTTACAGTGATATTTCGTTACATGTTCCATAATGTCAATAGATTTCCCCGCAACATCCATAATTATTACAAATGTCAATATAACGAAATATCTTTTATGCGATGTTTGTCATAATATAGAATAAAAATATACTGTTAGTCCGATATTTGAAAATATACATGCGTTCGTTGTCACTGTTAAACTGTTGTAATAACAATGGAATAATAAAATAATTCACTCAAATGTACATAATAATATATATACATATTCATAAAAACAATATTAAGCGCAATAACTGTTTTGTACGCGAAAAAAAAACCAATAGGTCCGTCGGGACTAGAACCCAAGACTCCTTTCTAATACGTCTACTTTACAGTGAACGGACGGAAGAGAATCCGTTCACGATTCACGATTTCCGATAAAGGAAAAGATATATACTTTCACGAAAAAGTGGTGTGTAAGAAAAGTCTCATACTTGGTGTTGGGAATTAATGAAATTCATGCCAAATTAACATTCGATTTAACATTTATATCAGTAGTTCAAATATAATTATCAAGTGGTGGAAGGCCCTTCCCCTACGCTAGTTTTTCCCCTGCTGGAAGCCATGGTTGGTCGTGAGGGTCACTGGACCCCGTTAAGCACATCTCGATTACTTCATATTTGGACAGCTCTTATACCGTTATACGGACAGCTTTCGTTTAGATAAAGCACTCCATTTTTAGCTGAAAGTACGTAGATTAATCCTCTGTTATTGATAATAAGAATAAACGACCAGAACACTGTTAAAATCGCATTTAATCGCTGAGTACCACTATTTTTTTGACCGGTGGCGCCATCGGTGGCGAATCGCTGAAACTTCCAACCAATTATATGGCTAGCAGTTTCAGCGATTCGCCACGGGTGGCGCCACCGTTCAAAAATAGTGGTATTCCGCAATTAAATGCGATTTTAACATTGTTCTGGTCGTTTATTGTTATTTTCAATGACAGGAGATTAATCTACGTTCTTTAAGCTTCCAACTGAATGCTTGATCAAGACGTAACCTGTCCATATAACGTTGGAAGAGCTATTCAACGTGAACTAACTGGGGTACACATGACGAGATACACTGTCAATCGAAGCAAACAGTTGTGAATTTAACAATATTCTTGTTATTACTGGTTCCGAGCTCATAGAGAGTACTAATCTAAGTTCTTTAAACTTGGAATGTAATCCGTGACGAGGTAAACTGATGCTCGTTTAGCAGTGTAAATCCGATCGAAACCTGTTACAATTACATAACTACTAAACAGGCAACACTATTCTTCGTCATGCATTACATTTGAAGTTTAAAGAATGTCGATTAGTACCCTATAACGGCTGGGAACCAGTAATTACAAGAACATAGTTAAAATCTGAATTGTTTGCAACGGGTGACACTGTATCTCGTCATATCTACCCCGGTTAGTTCACTTTGAATAGCTCTTCCAACGTTATATGGACAAGTTACGTCTTGATCAAGCATTCAGTTTGAAGCTAAAAGAACGTAGATTAATCTCCTGTCATTGAAAATAACAATAAACGACTAGAACACTGTTAAAATCGCATTTAATCGCGGAATACCACTATTTTTGGACCGGTGGCGCCATCCGTGGCGAATCGCTGAAACTGTTAGCCAATTATATGGCTAGCAGTTCCAGCGATTCGCCACGGATGGCGCCACCGGTCAACAAAATAGTGGTACTCAACGATTAAATGCGATTTTAACAGTGTTCTGGTCGTTTATTGTTATTGCCACTGACAGGAGATTAATCTACGTTCTT